TGTGTGTGTGTGTGTGTGTTTGTGTGTGTGTGTGTGTGTGTGTGTGGACGTGTTTTTGCTACATCATGGAGATCATTTTCCAGACAACTACAGCCTTGTAGGGACCCAGTGCTCCTTATGGGGATCACGGATGCTAATTTTGGGTGGGGGGTTGGTTTAGGACCAAGTTGTGAATTAAATTTAGGTTAGGGTCAGGTATGTATTGGGGCAGTTTACAGTAAGGGGTCAGGGTTAGGCTGTAGAAATAAATGGAACATTAATGGAAGTCAATGCAAAGTCCCTACAAGGATAGAAAAAAAACAATGTGTGTGTGTTGTTTAGAGAGTTTTCTACTAAGGGCCTCTCCATCGTGAATCCCTGCTGTCCTCATTGTCTGCCAGTTGAAAATCAATCAGTTTATCCTGAGTGCATTCTTGTCTTATTGGCTTTTGTGTGTGTGTGTTCATATGTTTTAGCATTACTTACCTTTTAAGGCCCACTTCAAGATATACCACCTTGTGGGGACCCACTGCTTTTCATGAGGTCCAATGTCCGGGCCCCATAAGTTGAAATGTGACTTCTGGGTTGGGGGTTTGGTTTAGGACTCACACCTGTTGTTACTTCCTAATCAGCCCAGCTGCCACCACTGTCCCATTAGTTCTTCGCTCTTTCCCCTCGTGGTTATCAGTTCTGGATTGACCCTCTTACCTGCTCTCCTGGCTCCAGTTTCCTCCATGTTAGTCCTCATCCCTTGTAAGTTTGCAGCCTTGCTGTCTTTTCGGTTTGATTATTAAATAAAGTATTTATTTCCATTTACGCCTCATGTTTGCAGCATTTGGGTTCCAACTCCTAACAAATCCTGATAGTACTGTGGGGGCTAGGTATGAGTACCTTTTATATGAGGTATGAGGTTCAAGTTTTGGATACAGCACGTGTCAAACTCAAGGCCAGTGGGCTAAATGTGGCCCATGAGAGCGGCAAAGATGTGTTGATATCTTAAAATAAAGCAAGCATTGACCATAAACTACATTTCCTGTAATGCATGTTGATTATCTTACCAGTAAAACAGTGGCGGATCTAGGATTTTTCTGAGTAAGGGGACCTCAAGGGGCCACAATATTCATAGAGGGGCCAAGTCTTTGTTCAACATCCTTTCACACAAATCCCCAGTTTTGGGAAGGTGTACACATTTAACCAGTCACACGTTCAAACACTTATAAGGTAATTTAAAAAAAATAGGGTACCACTTTACAATAAGGCTCCCCTTACAGATGGTTTTTAAAGAGTTTATAGATAGATTATTAATTCATCTGTAAACACTTTATACATTATTAATAAGTGTTTATTGTGCATTAATTAAGGTAAAAAAAGACACTAAACTGTCTGGCTTCTTTCCAAATACTGAACAAAATCATTTCAGACTAATTTACTACCTTGTAAGCACAATAATGATTAGGAAACACATATTTGAACATATAATATTGTACTGTATTATTGCATTATAAATATCTACAAATATTAAAGGGATCCTTGTTGTAAAGTGTAAAACTACACTATTTTAGACGTAGTGGGATTATTTGGTTGACATGACGTGTTTTTACCTTTTTGATACATCATTGCTGACAGTAGTTGCATGTTTGAAAAATAATTTCAAATATTGATAATCAACACAATTTTAAAAAAATTTCACATTAAAGACTAACTTTTGACATTTATAAATGTTTATTTGTCATTAATAAATAGTGTACTGTATTGCACTTTACGATAAGTCCCTTTGACAGTTGTGAATATTTATAATGCAGTAATACAGTACAATAATAATATATTAAAATATGTGTTTATCGTTATTGTACTTACAATGTAGTAACCTAGTCTGAAATGTTTAATGTAGCATCTTTAAATATGTATGTGAACAGATTTGTCTCATTATTTGGTAAGAAACCGGAGAGATTTGTCTCTTTCCCGTCCTTCATTATTGCATAATAAACATTTATTAATGATTTATAAAGCGTTTACAGATGAATTAGTAACCTATCTATAAACTCTTTATAAACAATTTATAAGGGGAGCCTTTTTGTAAAGTGGTACCAAAAAAGTTGTTCACAATAAATTCTCCTCACCAGTTTTTCATACATTTTACTGAACATAGATAAAATATTCTCAAACACACAACAGGTGCGAAAATCCAGCCATCATTTGTCAGTTGAAATACGTTTTTTGCAGGATTGTTGGACTTTACTATTTGACTCATTAGCACAGCTAGTGTTTGAACATGGAACTGCATTCACCATCATCACTCCCAGGTAAAGGACAGATGAGTGACAGGGCAGGGGCACTTCAGGGAGCCAATCAGATTTTAGCTGGGGGCCAATCCCCTTGTGGCCCCGCCCCTAGAACCACCCCTGCAGTAAAATGAAGGCACCGCACTGGTTGGAGGTGCACAAGTTTCAAAAGTAGCTGGCAAAATGTGCCGTGTAAAATCTCAATTTTGCTGCATTTTTCACCAGCAACTGTTGCTGCGGCCAAGTTGTACTGGGAAGTGGGAATCTCCCACTTAAAAGCTGTAAATTTACACTGTGACAAAGTGGGAATTTCCTGTTGGAAAGTGGGAAAGTTCAGGATTCAAGATGGCAGCTACTCACCACAACTTAACAGTGAGTGAAACACTTACTTTTACTTTCCAYAGTATTTCTGTTATTTATTTCACATTTAGTCAGCCGTACATGTAATACTTTTCGAGGACGTGTTAAAACACTGTTTCTGTGTTCAAAATACCACATAGAGCCCAGTTATTGTTTGTTAGCAGTGCTCAGCTGCAACAATGAGTTGAGGATCGTGGTGTTTCGTGTTTAGTTGAAGTTAAACGTGAAATGTTGAAGTTAATTACGACTGGCCCGTTGAGGGCCGACATGATGATCACGTGGCCCTCAGTGAAAATGAGTTTGACACCCTTGGGCTRCAGAAATGAATGAAAGTCAATACACAGTCCTAATAAGAATAGAAATACAAACTTGTGTGTAACTTCAAACAGCTCCTGTTTTAAATTCTCAGCGAGATTCTTTTCTTTTTTTTTCTACCTGAGCCCAACTCTGTCAGAARTGACGTGCCAGCCCACCCCCTTGTTTCTGTGTGCGAGCAGGAGGGAAGAAGACAGTCAGACTATGTAAAGCTGATTCAGGTATGAATCCACTTGGGGATAGCTGTCTCTTTTCTTCCTCTTCTTCTGAGGCAGCGTTTATTTACAGCCCTGGCTGTTTTGATTGACAAAGGCAGGGGAGAGTGAATGCACTACTTGTGATGCAGCTGAAGTCTGTCAAGCTTTCAACACCTGCTCTCTTTCAGATGCTGATTTCATTACAGCTTCTCTTTTCCAGGAGTCAGGGCCACTTCTTTTTTTTTTAACTCTCGTCCTGCATGTTTACCTGGATGTTGTTCTCTATCTCCACATCTTCTCACCCCCGTCTCCCTCTCTCCCTCTCTCCCTCTCTGATTTGGCTGAGCCTTGGTTTATTTGCAGCTGAGCAGGGTCTCACACTCAATCTCAGCGCCTGAATTTTCTTTCATCAGTTCATCTGTCTCTCCTGTGTTGCTCAGGCAAGGCAAGGGTTTATCGTGAAGTGAAGATAAAGGTTTCGCCTGTTAGCAGAGATCAACCTCTGTGCTTTAACGTACTATATCACACATTTCTGAGGAGCACTCAGGAAGGATCTGGCTCTGCACTCAGTCAAGAGCCACATTGTCGCAAATTTCAAACAATTTTTTTTGTTTCGTTCTAATAACTGGGTCAGATCTTTCATTTTGGAAACGCAGAGCTGCACCAAAGCRCTCTGATGTTTTGTTAAACCCTGGGTTTAAAGTGTGAACCTGTCACAGACGATCATGCTGAACTCTTAAATTGCTCTTTTTTTTACGCAGCCAGTTTGCTGGTGAGACAAGTTGAACGGTGATAACTCCATTCATCCCATCTGTGAGGTCAAACCTGTTCGAGGCATATTAAAATCTCTTGATGTGTATTTTCTGTGTGTGTGCGCGCGAACGTGCGTGTGTATCAGTGCCAGGCACAGCAAGAGATGCTATTTCCATGCAGAAAATATGTTGCCAAGGTAACAGAGGAGAAAGTGAGAGTATGAGGGAGGGAAAAGGGGCTGAGATACCCCCCGCCCCCCCACACACACACACACACACACACACTCTGAACACCAGGACGGCTGCTGCAGAAGCTGGAGCGCACCGCTTCACCCCACTGACACGCAAACCGCTCACAGCCTTTGATGTCTGTTAATGTGCTTGGATTCTTATTTTATAAGAATCACAAACTCCACTGCTCTGTCTAGATCTCATTTGCCATATATGGTATAGTGTATACATATACATCTTATACTGTTGTAAAGCCTGTTAATTTCCCTTTTAAATGGTGCCACATTTAGAAGGAACATGCATTTGTGGGATGAACAGCAGAGCTGAGTAATTGGACTGCAGGCAGAAAATTTGCTAAATGTTTTCTGCCAATTCCAAGCAGTTTATTTTGCCAGTTACTCGTTAGGTGTTTGGATGACTGAAGCTTGAAGAAACAAGACATATTGGCAATGACAATCTCCATTCATGATGTCACGCATTTCATTTACTTTCAAATGAACAGACAACCGGTGTGGATTCTACGGAAATCCAATTGTGATATAACAGAAAAAAATCTTTACACGTTTGACTTCAGGAATCACAGAAAAGTTCAGTTGAAACGTTGTCTGGGGGATCGAGGTCTTCGACAGAGTTGGACATCGAGCAGAATTGTTAAAGGGCCAATATTATGTGTTTCTCAGGCATATATTTAAATACTATACCACAATAAAGTATCTATGTCACCTTTAGTTGTTATTAAAATGCTGTTTTTATGTTTAAA